ATTGTTTTCGAACTCAACCATCCTTAGGCTGTAATGGTGATATATTCAAATGTTTTTTTAAATGGGAAAAAAATTATGACCTCTATAGGGTCCACAAGCTAAAAACACGATTTTTCGTACAATCAGGATCCATAAATATGGTAGTTACGGTCCAATATGTGCAAATATCGAAAGGAATAGAGATCTTTGGGTTATAAACTTACATTTCAAGTTTCATCACAATCAGAAGAAAATTGTAACCTCTAGAGTCCACAACCATGATATATCATATTTTTATGCTATTTGAGTACGAGGGGAGGCCATTTTGTCAGTTTTGGGCCGATTTTCACGAAATTTGAACTCAACCATCGTTAGGGTGTAACGGTGATATGCTAAATCGTTTTTTTAAATCAGATAAAAATTATGACCTCTATAGGGTCCACAAGCTAAAAACGCGATTTTTCGTACAATCAGGGGCCATAATTCAGGAAGTTATGGTCTGATATATGCGAATATCGAAACTAATGAGATCTTTGGGTTATAAACTTACATTTCAAGTTTCAACAAAATCAGATAAAAATTGTGACCTCTATAGGTCCACAACCTTGATATACCATATTATTACGCTTTTTGAGAAAGAATGGCGGCCATTTTGTCTGTCAATTTTGGGCCAATTTTCACGAAATTCGAATTCAGTCGTCCTTAGGGTGTAACGGTGATATAATAATACGTTTTTTTAAATCGGATAAAAATGACCTCTATAGGGTCCACAAGCTAAAAGCGCGATTTTTCGTACAATCAGGGGGCATAATTCAGGAAGTTACGGTCCAATATGCGCGAATATCAAAAGGAACTGAGATCTTTGGGTTATAAACTTACATTTCAAGTTTCAACAAAATCGAATAAAAATTGTGACCTCTATAGGGTCCACAACCTTGATATACCATATTTTTACGCTATTTGAGAACGAAGGGCGGCCATTTAGTCTGTCAGTTTTGAACCGATTTTCACGAAATCCGAACTCCGCCATCCTTAGGGTGTAACGGTGATATAATAATACGTTTTTTTAAATCAGATAAAAATTATGACCTCTATAGGGTCCACAAGCTAAAAACGCGATTTTTCGTACAATCAGGGGCCATAATTCAGGAAGTTACGGTCCGATATGCGCAAATATCGAAAGGAACCGAGATCTGTGGGTTATAATGTGGGCCAGGCATCGATATTTCCGTGCACATGCGCACGGCGTGTGCAGGTACATTTGCGTTAAAAAACTTTTTTTGCAGGCACATTTTTAAAAATTATTACTGTCACGTAAATCATGTAAAATAAAGAATACTATTTATTTTTATTGTTGTTTTTTTTTTTTGTTTACTTTGATTACCGTATATTATAATTTACTAGAAAAAGCTAGTCGATGATAAAAACATCAGCACGCGACGTTACCGATTCCACCTGTGACTTATGACCTATCACCTGTGACCTCTGCTTAATTTAGTGACAATTCTAGTAGAATGCCAGCCGATGATTAAATTGAATAGCACGCGACGTATGAACTATCACCTGTGACCTCGGCAACCCCTAAACACAAGTACCGTGTAGTAATTTAAATACACTGTAAGTGGAATATTGGAAAATAATTTAGGCCTCATCAGAACAACAGTTATTTTAGTTACGGTGCAAGAATATCTTGTCATCGTCAAGGGAAACAACTCTTGTTAGTATCCGAATTATACCGGAAGTTAAGTTTAACGAATGACAACCTGGCTGCGCAAAGGGATTTAATGAACTTGTTTGAAGCCGGTAGGCATCTATTCTATGTTTATATCAACAACAACAATATGCACATCAAACATAATCTTTATTATTAAAGTAATCTATAATACAATAATACAATTTAGAAACCATAATAAAAAGGGTACTAAAAATTATTTATAATTTCTTCTTCTGCCGAGTCCAACCCAAGAAGCTTTCGTAAGCCCCCCGCCCCCACAATCATATTAAAAACCTGGCAATTGAATACTCTCCTTTTGAGTATGACCCTGCAGGCACATTTTCAAGTGTGTGCTCAGGCACACTCAACTTTTATAGAGCCCTGATGTGGGCGTATAAAAACATCTAATACCATGGATTTAGCTGTTATCATTGAAAATCAATATACTTCTTCGTCTCAAGACCTTACACTCTGTATTATTAATCAAAAGTCAATCGAAACGACTATACAAAGGTGTTAACACGGTGTATAAATATAAAATCAATCATATTTTTACGCTATTTGAGAACGAACGGCGGCCATTTTGTCTGTCAATTTTGGGCCGATTTTGACGAAATTCGAACTCAGTTGTCCTTATGGTGTAACAGTGATATAATAATACGTTTTTCTAAATCGGATAAAAATTGTGACCTCTATAGGGTCCACAAGCTAAAAATGTGATTTTTCGTACAATCAGGGGCCATAATTCAGGAAGTTACGGTCCGATATGCGCGAATATCGAAAGGAACCGAGATCTTTGGATTATAAACTTACATTTCAAGTTTCAACAAAATCGGCTAAAAATTGTGACCTCTATAGGGTCCACAACCTTGATATACCATATTTTTACGCTATTTGAGAACGAACGGCGGCCATTTTGTCTGTCAATTTTAGGCCGATTTTCACGAAATTCGAACTCAGTCGTTCTTATGGTGTAACGGTGATATAATACTACAGTTTTTTAAATCGGATAATAATTATGACCTCTATAGGGTCCACAAGCTAAAAATGCGATTTTTCGTACTATCAGGGGCCATAATTCAGGAAGTTACGGTCCGATATGCGCGAATATCGAAAGGAACCGAGATCTTTGGGTTATAAACTTACATTTCAAGATTCAACAAAATCGGATAAAAATTGTGACCTCTATAGGGTCCACAAGCCAAAAAAATGTGATTTTTTGTACAAACAGGGGCCATAATCCATGAAATTTCGTTCCGATACATGCCAATATCGAAAGCAGCCGAGATCTTTTGGAGATACACCTATATTTCAAGTTTTGTTAAAATCGAATAAGAATTGTGACCCGTAGAGTGTCCACAAACAAATTGTGGACGGACGGACGGACAGGGGTGACGGCATAATACATCCACATGAAAATGTGGGCGTATAAAAATCAATGAGGTGAAGAAATTTGTATAGTATAACTACTCCTGTAATCCACAGCCCTCCCATTTATCATTTTGCTCAATCAACATGAATTGCCATTTATTCTGCCAAGCTAGGTCGTTTGCCTCATTTTGATAACCAATCAGTGAATGGGAATATACGTGACCTAGGTCGTTATGAATAAATTTCATTGCGGGAAGTCAAAACACGGTCTAAGCTCGTATGCCGTAAACTAGCGAAGGGAATGAATGAATAGTTTTTTTATTTAGACTACTGTTTTCGTTGCCCTGCATTCATAATTTTATTAGTTACTATCACTAAATAATACGCATAATATTGACATTTATGCTCAGAGCTGCGTATGTGATCAATTGCATTCGGGAAAATTTCAAAGTAATCAGATGTAAAAATGGCTATACGCCATACGGAATGTCAGAATATATTGTAACGAATAGTAAACGGATAGTAAAATGATTCGGATAACCCTTATTTTGTATCCGTTAACGCATATCCGAATAGTAGTTTCAACACTAAGAAAGTTATGGCCTGAAATGTGAAAATATCAAAAGGGATCGAGATCTTTGAGATAAAAAGGTATGTTTTAAGTTTCATCAAATCCAAATAAAAATTGTGACCTTTAGAGGGTCCACAACCTTCGTATTGCACACTTCTACACAATTTGCTACAAAGAGCGTCCATTTTGTCGGGCAGTTTTATTTCGATTTTCCCGAAATGCGAATTCGACCTTCATTATGGAAGAATGGTGATGTATTGAAACGGTTTTTAAAATCGGAAAAAAATTGTGACCTCCAGAGAATCCACAAGCTAAAAATTTGATTTTTCGAACAATCAGGGGCCATAATCCAGGAAGTTAAGTTTGGGTATCCACGATCATCAAAAGGAACCAAGATCTTAGTGTGTAATGGTGATATATTTACACATTTTTTTTTTAAATCGGATAAAAATTGTGATCCTACAAGCTAAAAACATGAATTTTTGTTAAATCAAAGACCATAATTCAGGAAGTTACGATCCGATATGCACGAATATCGAAAGAAACCAATATCTTTAGGTTATAAATATGTATTTCAAGTTTCATCGAAATCGGATCAAAATTGTGACCTCTAGAGGCTCCACAACCTTGATTTACCAGATGTTTACACTATCTGCATACGAGGGGCGGCCATTTTGTCCGGCAGTTTTGGCCCGATTTTCACGACATTCGAACTCAACAAACATTACGAGTAACGGTGATATATTCGAACGTTGTTTTTTTTTAAATCGAATAATAATTGTGACCTCTAGAGGAACCACAAGGTAAAAACGCGATTATGCGTAACATCAGAGGCCATACATAATTCAGGAAGTTACAATCCGATATGCGCGAATATTGAAAGGATCCGAGATCTTGGGTTATAAACTTGCATTTCAAGTTTCATCAAAATCACACCAAAATTGTGGCCTCTAGAGGGTCCACAACTTTGATATACCAGATGTTTACACTATTTGCGTACGAGGGGCGACCATGATGTCCGGCAGATTTTGTCTGATTTTCATAAAATTCAAACTCAACCATCCTTAGGGTGTAACGGTGATATATTCAAACGTTTTTTTTAAATCAGATAATAATTGTGACCTCTCGAGGGACCACAAGCTAAAAACACGATTTTTCGTACAGTCAGGGGCCATAACTCGGGAAGTTATGGTTCGATATGTACGATGAAAGGTGATATGGTTCATCCTCCCATGACCCCAAGGCTTCAATTGTAGCTTGAAAATTGAAGCCTCTACCATGATAACAATGAAATTGTTGCCTGATAGACATGAGTGATAACATAATGCTCATTCTAAAATGTTGGTGTATAAAAATAAATTTTACCTGTTCTTCAGCTTTTCCCAACATGTTCATAGCTCTCATGTTCACATTTTTTGATAGTTTCTCTTTAGTTTCTGTCAATCTAGAGATCCGCCTACCTGCTTCTTTTGGGTCATGTACTTTAAAATCATAACCAGTGTTAGGCTGCCCAAAAAACTTTTTTTCTTCTGTTATCCATTCATATTCTTGAAGTAAGTTCTCAACCTGCATGTTTGTAGCACTTTATTGATAGTTCTATCAAGGCACATTTAAGGGGCACTAAAGATAGGTTACTATTCTGCTAAACATACACCCACAGCATCTAAGTCGTCCACAAGACAATAATATCCTTGTTGAAATTCACTATTTGATATAACCACGACATTATGCATAAGATGGACGGACAGGCAAGAGGGAAAATCATTAGGGCTCATTCTACAGTGTATGACACCGATTTATATTTTGTTTATTATAAAGTTTAGTTTTTATGCATACCAAAATTCGGAAAAAATCTGGATCTACAAACTTCATACATATTTCACATTTTGCACAAAATGTGTATAGACCGTATAAAACGATAAATACGTTGATCACTTAATTACTGAATCAATCCAGTCTATTATCAACGATAATCGGGGTTGAGTGGTAGTTATACACTCAGTACACTATATTAATTTTGGAATTTTGAATATTATTTACCATGTCTTGATGTCCGATTCGGCATATTCCTGGTCGGACAATTTACGACGTTTGGAAAATAGCGTCGGACATGTCCGGAATATACAGGCAAAATCCCATCACTGTGCCTGTATGTTATGGACGACACTCGGAACCATTTTTCAGTCTATTATTTATCGATGGTTAAATGGTCATAGCCTATTAAGTACAACATGGCCATTTATTTAATGACTATGAATGTGCCAAATAAATTTAAAGATTGGTATATATATATATATATATAAATATTGTCGTCTAATTGTCAAGCTATTTGGAGATATTTATTTATGGTGGGGCACCCTACCTATTATCCTATGAATGATAAACGAGACGAGTAGATGTTATACACTAAGTACAGTAAATATTTTTAGGAATTTTGAATATTATTCACCATACATCTTCATAACTGATTGGGCATATTCCTGGAGTCGGACGTTTGTAAAATCGCGTAGGACATTTCCGGAATATACAGGCGAAGTAGCATCCTTGCAATAGACCAATGGTAGCAGAGAACCAGCGGCTGCCAGGCAGGATACAACCACTTTTTTCAAGAGATTGATAGAGAACAAGCTAAACAAAAAACGATTTTTCACAACATCAAGGGCCATAATTCCGGAAGGTACGAGAAGATATGTGCGAATATCGACAGGAACCAATTTCTTTAGGTTATAAACATGCAATTCAAACGTTTTTTTAAATCGGAATAAAATTGTGACCACCATAGGGTCCACAAGCTAAAAAAACGTTATATTTCGTACAATCAGGGGCCATAATTCTGGAAGTTACACCCCGATATGCGCGAATATTGAAAGGAACCAAGATATTTGGGTTAAAAACTTACATTTCAAATTTCAACAAAATCAGATAACCAGCGGCTGCCAGGCAGGATAAGCCCACATTTTACAAGAGATGGATAGAGAACAAGCTAAACAAAAAGTGATTTTTCGTACAATGAGGGGCCATAATTCAGGAAGTTACGATCCGATGTGCGCAAATATCGAAAGGAACCAAGATCTATTTCAAGTTTCATCAAAATCAAAAGAAAATTCTGACCTCTAGAGGGTCCACAACCTTGATATACCATATTTTTACGCTATTTGAGAACTGTCTGTCAGTTTTGGGTCAATTTTCACGAAATTCGAACTCAGCCGTCCTTAGGGTGTAACGGTGATATACTAATACGTTTTTTTTAAATCGGATAAAAATTATGACCTCTATAGGGTCCACAAGCCAAAAACGCGATTTTTCTTACAATCGGGGGCGCGAATATCGAAAGGAACCAAGATCTTTGGGTTATAAACTTACATTTCAAGTTTCAACAAAATCGGATAAAAATTGTGACCTTTATAGGGTGCACAAGCTAAAAACGTAATTTTTCGTACAAACAGGGGCCATGAAGTTTTAATCCCATACATGTCAAAATCGGATAAGAATTGTGACCTGTAGAGTGTCCACAAACAAATTGTGGACGGACAGACAGGGGCGATGACAACATACGTCCACATGAAAATGTGGGCGTATAGAAATTAACTGGATTTACCGTTGGCGATTTGTTTGAGTTTGAGATGATGGAACCGACATTGAATTAATTAGGTCAGTCATGTCGCTACGGATACCACAGAGTAAAAATACACAGCGTGGCGACTGCTTCATTTGCATAAAAAGTAGGTCGTGCACTTCATCTTGGGGTTTGTCTGTAATGTCACTAAACATGGCGGCCAAAGAAGACGTTTCGCAGTTGAACAGAAGAAAATGTAAACATCCGAGTGGTGGATATGGTACCCAGAGTAGGTCATATACAGGGTTTTTAATTTTAGGGACTATTGAGGAATTAAAAAAATTCAGCATTCCTGAAGAAAAAGAGCTCAGTCTACGTCACGTCGTCTGCTACGAGTTCTCATACGATGTCGATATGAGTCATCGTCTAGTGCTAGGCCTAGTGCTATAAATATTAAATATATAATAAATACTGAGCCATAAAAACATAGATCTAATAGATTATAAGAACAGCAATATATATCATCAAAAATTTTATTTTGTAAGAGTACATACACTGAGAACTGCTAAAGGTTGAATCTGTGCCCATCCACCCTATAATTCTCAATCATCGTTGTTATTTGTACATGTATCGAAAGAAAATTAATTTTCCGACTATTACTCAGTATTACTGCGTTAAAACTGTAAATAAGGTGTGTTAATTAACAAGGGTGAAAAATGTCTGAGAGGTGAGTTAATTAACGCTAGGGGTGAAAAACTGTGTGACAGTGAGTTTTCAGTAGAGGTGTGTTAATTAACCAACCGGTAAAAAATGAATGTCAATGTTATGTATTGTTTAATTGGCGTGTTTTCTCGCTAGTTGCGATAACTGCATCAAAAGGAGTATAATCAAGGAGCAACAGGCTTTATCTGACATGTTCATGTTACATCAAAATTTGGGAAGTAAAACTGTTTTACCGTGGGATTTATCATTCGACCGTGTGTTTTACGCAGGTCTTTGTATAATTAAAGGCAGGTCTTACAACTTGTCTTCTATTCTTTCGACTATACCTGACGTTTATACTGCGTACCATATAGTCACGCTACTTATAGATAAAGTTGCATTTAATAAAATAGAAATATTGACTTTAGTCTATCGCAATGTCGTCATTTATAAATATCGAACAGGTAGACCCAATTTGAATATCCCCGGGTATATAGCGAATAAGTCAAATTTGCCGTATGTAAATATACATGTACTGTCTTCTTATTGTTACGACGGGCACCTGAAATAACCCAGTCACATCAGAGAGCAATATCAGGTTTATTTTATAATCATTTTAGACATTATTTCATTTCATTAAACGCGCAAGTTCACATATTGACCTTTGATTGGTGGTATGCATTGAAGGTCGAGCCGTTGGCGCCGAAATGAAAAATAAAAATCAGCATGGTATTGTATCTGTCCCAAGGATTCAGCGAAGATTTTAAAGTTCCATAAACTTATAATTACTGAACGATAGATCTGCTCCCGATAGAACTAGACGATATAATTACTTGGGACATGATGTTAACATTTAAATAGTTCATCAATAACACCGTCTACATTTCCAATTGTTTTTTTTAAAATACAATATTAGAGCACTAGTATCCTGTAAATACAGTCAAACTGGGGGAAAGTATTGCCATCTTTTTGTTATGGTTGATTGATCAGAATGTTTGAAAACCTTGACCTCTAGGTGTTGCGTAACAAATGTGGTGTTTTGATACTTGATTGGGGTCATAAAGTAATAAACTAATTAACAAGCTACACGCGGATTATTAATTTCAACCAAAATGTGTATTAGAAGTTGCTGTCTGAATTACGGTTGTTAATTTTGTTTATAGATTTATTCATTGACTGTTTTCGCTAACTTAAAACATCGTGCAAACTGAAAAATAAGGTAATTTATGGTTAAAACTTTTTATGGCATGTAAATAGAATGAATACATAGAAACGTGTATAGTAAAATTTACTGCAACCAGTAACAAACGATCTCTTGATACAGGCGTATCTGTTTTATGGAATAATCTACCATTTAGTTTAAGATGTTGTACATATCTATATTCTTTAAAACAAACTATTTAAAACACTGTTATTTAAACGGGCTTTAACCGACGATACATGTCCATAATCTTGATTTTTTTAAGATTAAATTGTCACTTTGTAAAGTGTCCCTAAGTAAGTTACATGGAAGGGCGCACTATAATAATATATAGTAACAAAATTTCGATTTATAGTATTAATATAAAATTACAATGCTGTTTGTTTCAAAGCTGCGTTCGTTGAGGGGCACGATGGCTAAGTGGGTAAGACGCTGGCTCGCTAGCCTGGAGGTCGGGTGTTCGATCCCTGCATTGGCCGGGAAAGTTTATCCAGATATTGCTGCGTGATTCCCCCTTGTCTATGGTGCAGGACGGAGGATCTGACAAGGACAGCTGTCAATTCTATTTATACATGTTAAGGGGGGGTTGGATGGCTGAATGGTTAGCGTGCGTGCGCTGTATCATAAAGTCTGTCATTGAGTCGACTGGCGTGGTTTCGAATCCCCGGTTGTACGTGGAAAGAAGTAGGGTCGCCTGTCCAACCTCGTGATTGATATCCGACTATCATAAAAAAAAAAGGCCTATTAAAAACTAACATCTAATAACGAGCTATATGTTCTTTCAGAAAGTATTCAGGTATAATAAATTATTTGCTAGCTATTATAAAAACGTACAATACACAAACAGGGTAAGCGATATGATCAACCTTCCCGAAGAGCTACCAATTTGTCAGAATTTTCAAAGAAAAAATTGACAAATTTTATAGTGTAATATCAGTATCTTCTCAAATAAAGCAAACGAACAGTTTTCCAATACGCGCGAATAAGCTCGTGCACGCCTTTACATGTGATAGAATTGTTACTTTGATCCTGTTATTGCTCTGCACGGACTATGTGTGAAACGGTTAGACGTGAAGTCTGAAATGGTTCGGTTGACATTTGAATGGT